CCCCGCGAAACGGAGGGATCCAAGGGCTAAGCCTCCTCATGGCCCATGTCCCGGCAACGGGCACCTCGCCTCCCGTGCGCTCTTGAGATTGAAATCGAGTAGATCGGGAGAGAAGACGTTGGATGATAGGTGGAGCTTGGGACGGGAGGTGAAGCACGAACGCTGGTGAGGGCGGTGGCGGCGGGAACCCTAACTGGGAGGAGAGAAAGAAAAGAAATGGCTAGGAGCGAGAGGTGCGAGGCGTGCGAGCGTTTTATTCTGTCTCGACACAGTAAAACGCGACAGTAAAACTTCCGGACGTGGCACTCACGAGCGGGCACCCTTGATGCACACCTTATTGTTTTTGATGGCCAATGGGTAGCTTCAACCTAGTGCTCCGCAGGTCCACGTAGGCTCGGAGTTTGGTTCGGACAAAAAGCAACAGCCTAGCAGGAGATGGTGTAGCCTGCAGAAGAGCCGGCCTCTTGGGTTGTAAAAGCTGAGAGAAAGCAAGAAAGAAGAAGGTAGGATGATGCATGCAAAGAAAGAGGTAGAGAGAGGGGAAAGAAAACAGCATGCATGTGAAGGGAGATTGGTCCCCTATCGAGTGTAGCCTGCGTTAGCTAGAATTTTTCACAAACGGTGGCTCTATTACCTTTTGATTAGATAAATAGCTGAGGCAGCATCGGAGTGATGCCTCCATTGTACATGCCCTTATGTGTTGTGCATGCATACGGAGCAGTGCAGGATTAAAAGCTGCTGCAGCATGCTGCCCGCCGTTTGGTAAGATTCTAGGTACAGTAGAGTAAATCTGTTCCGCAGAGTTAACAAGCTTTTCTGGTTTCAGAATTTATATTGCACATGTGTTAGCTAGGCTTGAAAAATGAAGATGGATGGCACTACTTCAGATTTAAACATGCATAAAGTTAACATGCATAGTCTTGCTTTTAGATAAAACACTAATAAGATATAGTGCACTGGGACTGCTATATTTAAACATCTATTTCATACTATTAGATATAGCTTAAGATATACTGCATGGGGACACTAGGATAATCCCTCTTCTCAGGTTTAAAGGGTTCATCTTAAAGTTCTCAACAACCAAGGTACATGATGAGTGGAGGACACGAGTTTCGCGGGTTCAAAACTGCCTAATGAAATATGTCCCACATGTTCGACTCCCTAAACTATAAGTGCATCATCCTACCTCTTATTCATTATTGGATATGCATGTACATGTAAAATAAGAGTGCATGTGTGGCCTCTAATTCTCGCTCTCATCTCAATGGATTAAATATGGCCTGGGACTCAAAACACAACTGAATGAGACCTAACGTGGGACTAATGTTATGTAAATCTGAAAATTTTGACATATGGCCCCTTTAAACCAAAAGGGAGAGAGTATTTATGAAAAGGTTCTCAAAACCACTAGTGGGTCATTTAGGGGATGATTTATTATGTTTTTGTAAACTCAGGGGATTAACTAACTAGTTTTGGTGCTGAGGGGCTAACCCTGAAACCATAAGGGTCCTTCATTCTTCACACAATAATACATGCATATGCACACACAAAATTGTTTTGTTCTACAAACACTCACTTCATTTCAGTGATTTGCCTCGTCCCTTATATTAATCATTTTTTGAACGGAGATAAAAGATTTCCCCCGTTAATTAATTAAGAAGAAGACATTTTCTCAGTTAATTAACGGAAAACATGCGAAAACAGTTAAACATGTCCACATGTGAACTACTCCCAACGCATAGAATCACACGCCCGCAAAGGTGACCCAGTAGACACTACCCAACAATTTCAAGCCCATTTTTTTTCGATAAAGGGCTTTTCACCGAATTGAAATATCGAGTTGATATAGACGCATCAAAGATCACCCGGCCTCTGCATAGCTAGATGCACACAGCCAAAAGTTCGAAGAAGTCTAGATCAAAAATAATATGGCTAAACATCCACAAGTAAAAAATAAAACAAGCCTATAGCGGGGCCAATCCAATTCGAAGATCACACCGCCATCCATGGGGGGTAGAAAATCTCCCTGGCCGAACGCTCCAGCCGTGTAGACGACATCATAAAAAGGCCTCTATCCTTAGACCGCTGCAGGATAGACCACATATGAAGCCATCGCGAGCATATATGAATAACCTGCATAGGAGAAGAAACGCATTTACGGTTAAAAATAATATCATTCCTAGTGAGCCAGAGTGCCCAACATAAGGCAGCCGTCCCCCACAAGAATGTGTTTAGAAAATTATTTATCTATTTCCCTCAACCAGTTGCCAAATATATTACGTGCACTACGTGAAGGGTATAGATTCGAAGCTATTTGGACAATGGCCCATACCGATCGAGCAAACTTGCATTCAAAAAATAAGTGCTTAATCGACTCATCATGGTGGCAGAAAACACATTTTTTTGCAACCTAGCCAGTTTCGTCGTGCCAAATTGTCCCACTCCCACTCCCAGCTGCTGCAGCACAACACGCTCAACCTCCGACTAGGCATGGCGCTCGGCCGCCTCCCCTTGGCCAGGCCAGTGTCCGTGATCCAACACGGTGGCGAGCGCGTCGAGCCAGCGCCGTCGAACGCGTTCGTGGCCGCGCTGAAGCGGGCGCAGAGGCACCGGGGCCGCACGGGGGCCGTGGTCGGCGAGCTCGAGCAGCTCGTCCTCTCCATCCTCAACGACCCGAGGGTCGACCGCGTCATGCGCGCGGCCGGCTTCTGGAGTTCCCAGTCCCAGGTCAGGGCCACCATGGTGGGCGCCGCCGTCTCGTGGGAGCAGCCGATTAGGGCAATGCGACGTCCCGGAACTTCAGCCGTCGGTCGTCGCCCACGTCGTCCCGGACGGAAGGTACGTAACCTACTAGCTCCAGAGTGTGGCATGCATGCACGTCTATGATTGACTTTTTTCTTCTTCCTGACTGGCACAAATGATAGCATAGGCATCGCGCGTGGTTCCGCAAGGGAAAGAGTGGCAACCTCTCCCGGATCCGCTTCCTTGACCCTGAGGAACCTATGTGTTTGAACATGATCCGCTCGGTCTGTGTATAGATGGATCTTTAGAAACATTTTTAGTGTTTTCCTTTTATTTTTCAAATTACTCCCTTCGCACCGTATTACTTGTCACATAAATGAATAAAAATGGATACATGTATTTAGACATAAAATACATCTAGATACATTCATTTCTGCGCTAAATAATTCCGGGCGAAGAGAGTATTAATAGTCCAGGCCCTCAGTATTACAAGGCACACGCTTGGAAACACAACAAACGTCCTGGAAGGAAAGTTTACCTTTTGCAAACCAGCCTAATAGTTCAACTAGTGAGCAACTTGAAATATCACACTATGGAATCACACGGTAACCGTGATAAAAGCAACTCGCCTTTCTAGATTTCCAAATAGACCAGAATACTGCAGGAACTCCCACAACTGCAACTTCTCTGGCTTTATGAGGAACACACATATGCCACATTACTAATGCTGTGAAATTGTCGAGAGCTATCAGTTTCTAGTTGTGCATTTTGCAACTCCACAGATAAATCTAGCAAGTGCACTACGAAAGAAAAGGTGCTCAATGATTACCACTTGATGACATAACATGCATTTATATCTTTAACATTATAACCCCACTTGAACAAATTGTCTTTAGCCAGAGAAAACTTTAATTAATGAATCCAGTTCACCTGACTCGAACTTAATAGCTAGGTAAATAGACTGAATAGAGAACTTTCATGAGTAGTGGCTAACACTCCTACCTGCTTATGGTTCATCAATGTGAGTTTAAGCAAATAAACATGCGACAATAAACTAGCAAATTATAATAATGGTTCTCTAACATTTTGTTTCACTCGTTAGCATTGTGTAAGGTATCACTACATGGAGTCATGGATAATGAGAGTGTTATCATGCAGTTCTCGTGTTAGAAATGTAACAAGGGTTCTCTTCATTGACTACTACAGATGATGGCCTCTTTGTCCGAGGGATGGCACTATATTTTCATCTATGAAGTTTTCCTTGCATGATGCACTATTCTGTCCTGTCGATCATGCTTCTCATAGTGAACCTTTTGCACAATCTTCGCTTTGTCATATGCCAACTTCTTTGGGATTAGGAGCCCACATGCCTACCGGTATTTCATTCTTCCTCTAGTTTAGCAACGGTTTGAAGATGAAATACTAGTTTTGCCTAGCCGGCGTATTAAAAAAACGTCGATGAAGGATGTCCCTATGACTTCAGTTATTCTTTTTAGTTTTGTCCTAGAGTTAATCTGCACTAGTTTTTTTGTGGGAATAATTTGCACTAGTTTACGTACATAATAATAGAAGTCATTTCCCTTGTAAAAGACCACTCCATTCATAAATTATTGTTGTTTTAGATACTTACATGCTCTGTGTATCTTTGAATGTAACACTGTATGCGTTTACTATGTTGGTAAGAAAGTATGATTTCTTTTGCAAAATATATTTACGATAGTACTATTTTCACTTTACCATTATTAATATTTCACATATATGTTCGTATTCGAAGTTGATAAAGGGTGTCTGTAGAACCAGGAATTCACATATATGTTCATATTCGAAGTTGATAAAGGGTGTCTGTAGAACCAGGAATTCACATATATGTTCATATTCGAAGTTGATATGGTTCTACAGACACCCTTTATCAACTTCGAATATGAACATATATGTGAAATATTAATAATGGTTAGGGCTGAGAAATAGACTAATTATGTCTCTTTTCTTGCAGTGAATGTCAAGCTGGCAAAGCAAAATCAGGAACAGCGCAGCCGGCTTTCTTATGCGGCACCGAGGTGGTCGCAACGACGGCGATCCTGCCTCCGTGGCTCCACCGCTACAAATGTACAAAATACACCAGTACAACGTACTGCGGCGCCAGTCTTCAAGCAAACGTACGTATAACACATTCAGATAGACATTGTGTCTAATGTATCATGCACGCATGAAGTCAAGAACTCGCAATTTGATTATCCGTGACACGTGACACGTGACACATGCAGTCTGCTTCCCGCCGGCTGAAGTTCACGGAGCTCACCGCGCAAAATCTCAAGATCCTGTGCGACGCGCTCGAGCTGCGCGTTCCGCGGCACGCGGACATCATTCCTGGCATATCGAGCACAGTGCTTCGGTGCCGGTCCGGCGTGACAAGGCGGAGGGCGGGCATATGGCCGACGACCTGGCTGCTCTTCCGAGGAAGGGACAGTAGGGGCAAGACGGCGGTTGCTCGGGAGCTCGCGAGGCTCGTGTTTGGATCCTACGCCGAGTTCACCACCCTGCAGGTTCAGGGTAACCCCGACATCCCTGCACAAACCGGCAAACTTGCCCTAAAGAGGCTGAGATCACCGGACATCGACAGCGACGGCAATGGTGGTGACGTCGGGGCGAGGCTGTTTGCAGCCATCGCAGAGAACCCTCACCGCGTCATATTGATCGATGGCGTCAACCGACTTGGTGGCGATTCGGAAATGCGCATCAAGAATGCGATCGCGGGAGGAACAATGGCGAGGGGATACAAAAACGACTTGGTTGGTTTGGAGGATGCCATCGTGGTGCTGAGCTCTGACGTGTTTGACTCGAGGTCTGGGGCTTCCGCTTCCTCCCCACGGGTGAAGCGACGACATAACAGCGAGGACAAACTTGACGTCGCGGACATGGAAGTGAGACCACGTCGTGATCTTTGTTGGGATCTGAACGTTTGTGCAGTGGACGAGGAAGAGGAGGAAGACAGTATGGCTCATAATGAGGGGGTCATAAGTGTCGTCGATGGTGTTTTCCTTTTCATTTAGCAGAGGATATTCTTTCAAACCATTCGAGGTGTTCTCAACCATTTTGAAAATGGACGCGGCTCGTGTTAGTCAGAGTGTCAGACCAAGTACCATATTTTAGAGTCCATAGTTTATAAAGTCTAATATGAGCTTTTTTTTGGACAAAAGCCTCTTGCAAAGCTTATTTATAGGGGTGCCAACAGAGGCTCCGTCAGCTCTGACCTCAAGAGCACAATGTACAACAGGACGCTACCGCCAACCACCAGGAGCTAGCTGCTCACCTGCTCCAACGGCTTCTTCTCTTGGGCTAACGTTATACTCCCACATGAGAAGTCCACGTCTACCACTAATAATAACTATACAAAAAACCACGGGTTGCTTCAGAAATTGAAGAATACTGTAAACTTTATAGTAAATCAAAATTTTAAATAAGAGTGATCATAGAGATATAATTCATCGTTTATAGCTAGTGCTATTATTAGCACATAATTTTCACAATGTACACGCTAGTAAAGCATAAATTGCTTTGGGCCAATTCTTTTCCAATACAGGATACATAAACATTGGGATGTGATCAAATCATGCAAGCAACATAGTGCATATGACTTGGTTTTCTGTTTGCTGACTTTGTTTTCTGTTTGTAATCTATAAAAGCTGGTTTGGATTGAAAAAAAAAACAATCACACGGTTTGTTTGTTTTCTGTAGTCAACAACATACATAAATGAACGGGGATAAAGCATACACACTATTTTCTTGTTGTATCTTCGTATGTTGTGGACTAGAGGAAGAGAAGTTCAGGCCGGTCGATAGGTCGGCGTGCACTCAGGCGGCTGTTGAGGGCCATGTGCATCGTGCAGACATGGGCATAGTGGCGAGCAGCACAAGGAAATTCGAAGGAGCCAACTGCATGTAGTAGCTAAATATTCAACTAGTCTGGACCGTAGCTTGGCATGGACAATGGAGAAGTGAGGAATTCTATGGGGAGTAGAAGAGACATGGACATGAAGCACATGATTATTAGAAAAGACGGTCGGTTGGGCTTTCGGAATCGAATGATCGCATTAACAACACGTGAAGTCTAACCAAATGGTTAGTCAAGGACTCATGTCGGATGTTCAGACTGGATCAGACGATGTCAACACATGTACACATAGCAAAAGAAATGTAGGATGATGTGGATGCTTGAGAGTGCACGAAAAAATGGTTATTTATGCAAGGTCGCATGTGCATGAAGATGTAGTGAGAAGTGTTTATTGCATGTTGGACCTACTTGACACTTGTCTAGATAAATAGAGTAGTGGTGATCATTCTCCTAGGTAGATAGGATACCGCTCTCTACATAATGATGCCTCCCCCCAATGGCCAGTGAGGCCACTCAGAGGAGAGAGAGGGAGGATCCTCGGGCATATCTTGTCGACTCTCAAGAAGGATCTATGTATAGAATTGAAACTACATGTGCGCCCATAGCGGTGCCAGATATACGCATCCCGATCACAAAGTGTGAGATACAATTTCCCCTGATACACCTGGGAGGGGCCACATGCCTCGATGCATCACATTTACCACTAGGTCCACGTGTTGGCCACCCGCCAGATCCACGCCCGCACTGGTGGGCCACGCACCGACACCCGATCAACCTTCCATGTGCATATACCAACGTCTGCAAGCAAAGGTAGATGCCCTGCGGCTGCCGCTGCTGCAAGGGCTTTGCCTGATGACTGTGAGGAGGGGGAGGTGTTGAGGAGTGCCGGCGGGGAGGGTTGGCACTCCCAGGTCATTATAGGTTTGAACCATCCGCATGCTATGGCAAACTCTAGCCTTGTTGACAATGTGTGTTTTCCATCTTCCTCGGTTCTACGACCATTTATTGAACTTCCATAATCTGTTCTATTTTACTAGTCCGGTCTTCTTTTCTTATCGTTGTCATCTCCAGTGATGTCTATTTCTTGACACTAGTGTCATTATTGTGAAAATCTTGCTATTGCAAATCTAGTCACGGAAGAGTGCAACAACAAGCGAGGAACCATAGAGAAAATTGGAGAAGTGACAAGGAGAGCGGTGCTGGTGGAGGCATATGGAAAAATGACTTGTCTCCTTTCCCAAAACAATCAGCAGATCTATAGCTACTCTTAAGAATATACTGATTTTAGAATGATAAACATACACAAATGCTTGTCCACTAAACAATTCAAAAACAAAGTTATACACATACCAAAACAACAAAGCTTAACATCTCAAATTGTTGGAACATACAAACATGCCACATAAATACATACATACATACATACATACATACATACATACATACATAATACGGCCGGCCACTTAACACTTCGTCTACTTAAGAATTTGCTGCATTTTCCATTGACGAGTAAGGCACTGTACTTATTTATTTCTTATTTCACACCACTAGTTATACGGAATACACACGAGATGAGCATTTGCAGCAACCTTATGGATAGACCTCGATGGCCAAGTTTCTTGACAATCTTATAGTCGCTAAACCCTGCTTTCATAAAGATCGTGCTCCACTCCTTTTCATCCCGTTGCCGTCCTCTGGTACATATGAACATCAGCATGTCCATCAACAGTTCGGTTTCAGTTATTGTCTCTAGAGAAGATCCAAGCACTATGTCTATGATGATCACTTTTCCCCCCATTTCTCGGGAAGGTATGGCCTTCTTGCATTGAGCAAGGATTTTGATGCAATCCTCATCGCTCCAAAAGTGTAGAACAAGCTGGAATGGAAAGAATCTATAAAGTTTAAGCAATGGATAATGAGGGATATGGAAGTTATCGACATAATGTAATTATGCATAGGTATTGGTAGTCCTGCAGAAAACTAATACCGAAACAAGAAAAAATTGGTGCAATCCAAACTCTTAGTTCCCTTTGTCCTATGTGGATATTGTATGGAAGAGCAATTTTAAGATGCTCCCACTTACCTCCTTAGAGGCAAGAAGAATATTAATTACGTTGGCAAAGGGTAAGTTTGTGTATAAAAATGCTCCAATTATAGCAATCTGTTGGTTGTTTGTTAGAAAAAGGAAGGCTCCAACGAACTAAATTACCATTTGCTCTTCACTTGGTTACTACCATATGTATCCATAACACATAATTTCAAATCGCATGAATTTAAAGTCATGTGTATTTTTAATTTTGGTTCATGTGTTATTAATCTAAATATTTATATTCCACACATCAAATCTCATAAAAATATATTGCAACCGATTGCCGCAACTCTAATTGGTTCATAGTATAAAGTCTATATTGTCTTTTAGTCAAGGACATAGCTATACCGCCTTCATTCCATAGTGTAGTGCCTATAGATTTTTTTTCAAAGTCAAAGTTGCAAATTTTGACCAAGTTAATAGATGAAAATGTCTATATTTTAAATATTATATATATATAGACACGTCATGAGGTACCCTGCAAATAAAAGATATGTCATGAGATATATTTTTATTTTATAGGTAGGTGTTTGGTGGACGTGAATTTTTGGGACATGGTGCCACGCGATGCCGTAATCCTGGCCATCCATTTGTGCATCAAGATTACTACTTAATATAGGTATTTATGCAATACGACACACATTAATGACCATATGAATACGCAGCCTTATACGAGACATGAGTGGGCCTAGCGGCTTTAAGTTCGTGGTATCCATGCGAAATTTGTCCGGTAGTCTGTGCCCTATTTGTCAGGTGGTCTCATAATTGTGTGCAGTGAGCCTTGATCTTTCACGTGGTCAGTTATGTAGCCCTTCTTCAAGTTGCAGGCTGTGAAAAGCAGGAGAATGAGGGAGATGGGTTCAGCAGGAATGGAAGTACAGAGCTTTGAACTCAATTCGATCCTTTGATTTAGATAGTTGGCATAGGAATTAGTCCTGAGTAAAGTTTCATCTTTTTGATTAGTCATATTAGCATGTCGGAGGTTTTGGTGGATAATTTTGGTTTGGGCTGGTCTAGGGGATCGTGAGTGATGCAGGTTTATTCAGATTTAACAACAGATTCAGTTGTTTTTGGTTTCAAAGCTGCGTGTGGTGCTCGTGGGCTGATGAGAGACGAGGAAGCTTGGCTTATAAGGATGCCTTGAAGTTCCACCCTCTCGAGTGAGTAGCCATCCATGATAAATGATGATTTTAATCTTTCCTGGGTTCCTTGATTGCCTGCCATGCATTTACAGTGTGGGTGTCAGCCATTTAAACGAACTAGATAATGCCCCGCGCATTGCCGCGGCACTTTTAGTTGATTTTGAATGTAGATCGTGCGTTGCTCCATAGTTGATGGCTCCACGTGAAAAAGGATAGCACGAAGGAACATCTTGTTTTCTCCAATGTAACATCATCAAACAAAACTAACAAACTCCATCAGGCCATTCGGAACATAAAACAAAATGAGGTAATATAAATGGCACCAAAAGATTCAATATGAAATGCAATAGAGGGTGAAGAGCAAGTAGTGAGCCGCCACCTGACACCATGTTGAAATGTATAACGTGAGATTCATTTATTATATTTAGATAGCTTGAAGGAACATCCGAACTGTTTCTTATCCAGCTTTCTCATATTATTAATGTATTACAAAGGAAGGACGGAAGCAAAAAAAAAGGATGGAAGCAAATTAAAAATCACCTATTTTAGTTATAACATTTACCTTCAATTATGCAAAAGAGATGATTTATTTTCTACTTTGAAGGTAGGCCAACTCTGGACGGTGAAACATAATAAAATAGAAATAAGCAAACATAAAAAAAATGGATGCATCAGCACAATCCTCTTTACAGATTTCTTTTTGAAATATAGGACATGAGATTAATGCTATGTGAAATATATTAACAAAATATTAAGGATAATGACGAATTCATTCCTGGCTGATCCTTCAAACTTGTAGTGTTTTTTTTTCAAATGTAAGAGACAATAGAATGTATCTTGTTTCACAAAAAAAAATGATAGATGTATTTTCCAAAGGATAATATAATGTAGATGCAGATGAGGGCCCCAATTTTATGTTGGAGATTT